ACGGGGCCGGGGTTAAAAGAGAGACGCCACCCACCTGTTCGCCGCTCAGACATCAGTATCTTCTTGTCAGGAGCTCCGAAACTCTGCCGACGTCAGTCTCCGCCTGATTCAGCAACTGTGAGTGACAATCCCTTTCAATCCTTTTTCTCTTCCCGGCTCCGCTCGCTCTCTGTCTGTAACGACAGTTCCGAAGCCATGCTTCGTGCACTGGTCATTACTAGAATAACTGCGTGTCTGCTCCAAACCCACCGCTAGCCTTCGCCGCGCTTGGGTCTAGCCAGCACGCCACACGGGCACGCCGAATTACTGTGTGTGATCCGCCCGGCCGTGACAATTTGATCTTGGATGTAGTAAGCGACGTACGAAGCACAGGGCCCAGGTTTGAACACTGAGCTGTCCCGCTTCCTTTAAAACATGTTTTTAATGTGACTTTTCCTCTTTTTCATAAAGGAAGGTTGCTTTCATTTGGTGTTAGAGCCAAATTTCCTAAAGTATATTTTGATTGATATTCTGTTTGTAATTTATTGTACAGATGATGAATAAACATGACGAATAAAAAGTCACTTGTACTTGTGTGTATTTTAAAAACGACAGCAAGATCATGAAAATAGATGTATGTTTTTATAGGTTTCATTTTATTGTAATTTGTCTTTATTACAAATAATTTATTGTGATGTTTGGCAAAGCATCGTGGTTAACACACCTACAGTTAAAAGCTTTACAGCTCCAAAAGGTTTAACTTTATGTTTTTCTGGATGAAATATTTCAATATTACACATCTACAATCCAAGCATTTGATGTAGTTTGAAATTTAAGCACTGAATGAACAAAAAACACCCTGCTTTTGACTCATTAGAATTTGTTGTTGATTAAAGTATTACAGAGGCACACGTTCATTCAGTGTTTAATGTTAAGTTGACAGCATCATACTTTAATAGAAAATTTACTCAAGCATGCTTTAAGTTTTAAAATGAGGAAGAAAATGTGTTTTGCGGGAAGCAATTGCCTAAGTAAATTCCATTCTTCACGAGAAAATATGTATGTTTTGAACTTCTTTTCAGAATAAAAATGATTGAAAACAATACTTATGAAAAAGGTAGAGGAAGAAAGCATTGGTTTGGTAAAAAAATAAATAAAAAAATAGGACCTTAAAAAATGTACTGTATAAAAATATAAAAATAATAATGAAATCAAAACTATAAAGACAGTGTGTGTCACTTTTGTTTGTTTCAGACGTTATTGCTGCAATCTGCAACTCATCGGGCTATAATAAACCACCGGCTCTCACAAGTGTCTATTTCATCACATCATAAGCAAAAGGTCCATGCTGATTCTTGACTTAAATAGGAACGCATGGTACACATATAGATTACTATATTATCTGTTATTTTACTGATTACTTATTTTCAAAAGTAATTAATTACTTAGTTACTTTTTAAAAACACGATTTACAACCTGAATAGGTGATAAAGCGATAGATCTTTCAGCCCAATTCTACTTTTTCTGCATAATCCATCATACAAAATGTAATCAAATGGAAAAGTCTCTTTTTAAAACTTGTTTTATTAGTTTTAACCTTTTAACTGTATGCATCAAGCAAAAATTAAATTATATGCAACATTCTCTGACTGGAAGAAATTATTTTCTGCACATTCCTGCACATAATTTTTTTTTTTTGTGTGTTTACACTCAGTCTTTCAAATAGATGCAAGTAAAACACAGCAGAAAATAAATAACATCAAAGACTCAGTGGTCCTGTTGCTCTTTTCACCTGTAAAGCAGGACTGGGGGTAGGCGGAGGTTTACCCTGGTGCAGGTGAGCCGCAGCGGTCAGTTGAAGAATCCACGAGTTTCTCTGTGAGTTTCCCATAGGGCTTTGGAGCGTGATGTCACGGGGGTGGGCGTGGAAGTAACACACAACAGCCATGGTTCGTTCTTGCTGTGTGGTCGGCTGCAATGTTCGATCGCACGACCGGCAAGAGAATAAGCTTAAAAAGGGTTTATCTTTTCATTCTTTCCCAACCTGGAAGCAACATGAGGCAGCTCGTGTATCGATGTTACCAAACGAAGGCGTCTAGCCTGGATAGCAGCTGTGAGACGAGCTGACGTGCAGTTCTCTTCCATCTCCAAATATCTGTTGGTGCTCCAGACATTTTCATTCCGGTAAGTTCTAAATATGTTCATGTCACTCTTTATAGCCTATTAGTTTTATTTTCGATGCGCTCTGAGCTCATAGCAAATTAGAACAAACATCCTACTGAGTGATTTTGCAGAACTACCTTCTATTTATAGAGTTGCTAATTATTTGGCATTATTGCAGCAAACCAGCCTATGAAATGGATGAAACATCATGACTGGGTTCCAGCGCTACACAAGGGTATTGCTTCAAACATACCACCATGCCAATCAGATTATTTCTTCCATGTGAGGGTGAAGAGGTGACCCTCCTGGATAAGATGGTGAAGATTTGCTGTGTTTGGTGAACAGTGTCATAATAAAATCAGGGAAGAATGAAACCTGCTCCTGTTACATATTCTTAAGTATTTTGCTGTATAAATAGCGGTATTTTTTTTTTTTTCAAAAGATACAGTAAATAAAGTCGTGTTAGTAGTGGGTGATATCATGTAAACACTGTCATGATTCTATGTAAACACTGTCATTTGTAAACTATAAATGACATGGATTCTACACTGTTACTGATGTGATGTTCTATAAGGTGGTTTTAATTTAAAAAAAAAAGAGGCAAAAATTAGTTTGTTTCTTTATTCAACTTTTGAACAGCGGGACTCAGTCAGTAGATATTCAGTAAATGCAAATTATTTACACGGCAGTGCACTACAGGCATAAATCTAGTCCCCTAGATAAAACATTATGGGTCATTCCCACAACCCACAGCTTTACTGTGTTCCAGCAAAGTATCCAATAGCAGTGACAACTCCTCCACAGTAGCAGGTGGGATTTTTCTGTTTTGAGGGCGGCTCCTTTAACCTTTCAATACGGATGGTCTGTTTATGTTTTGATCAAGAGCCTTTTTTTGGGCAGCTGAAGAGGAGAAGTCTATCTTATGTCCAACCTCTGGCTGTATCTTGGTCATATTACCCAGCAAAACCCAGTATGCAGATTCATCTGTAACAGTCCTTGTGCCACAGATCAACACTGTTGCTTCTACATTAAACAGAAGAGCAGTGACGTGGGTGCAGGTCTCTGCGACTCCGGCCATACAGCTGCAGTGGGCGGCTTCAACCTTCCCTGTGATGCTCACAGTGACCCATGGCTGCAATGCTGGTTCATTCAGTCTTTGAGAGTGCAGGACCTGAAACACACACAGACAAAGTTAATTTAAAGACAAGAACTATGAGCCAAGGCAGACATAAATGTCTTTAATCTACTTTATCATAAATGTAACAAAGTGTTTAGAAAGTTAGCACATACATGTAATTTTTCATTTTTTTATGTGTCCATCTATAGAACGCTGCATGTCATAGTGTAAATCTGCCTGTTCTCTGTCAGAAACCTGCCTGCAGAAAATGAACCTAAAGTATGTAATGCAAGATAGAGAAAGCATAAAGCGACAATTATGAATCACTTAGTATGATAAGGAGATTCTGCAGGTCATTAATCAATGTATAAAACTAAAATAAAATGTATTTTTAGTGACACAGGATACAAATACGGAAGCAAGATGTATAATTAGGATTATTTATAATAAATATGAATAAATTAGAGCAATTTCTTTAACCATAAAGAATAACTAAATCCTTCAGGACAATGTCACATCAATGCACTGAACTCACTATGTTATCCACCTAACAGCCTCCACATGTTCTCACTGTAATTTCCCCTCATGAATGAATTTATGCTGCACTAATGTGAATGTTTGCAGGGAAATCAAACGCATTTCACTCGCAGTACTCAAGCTGACTTACCTTTGTTTGAATGATGACTTGTACGCGCTGATTCCACAGACAAGGTACGAGAATATGTCAGGCTACGTCAATAGCGCTAAGTCTACAGGGTTTCTACTCCACGGCCGTATTTCATACGGGTCCACATTTCCAATGCACGCTATTTTCTGCAAGTACCGCCGCTTCGCCTCTGAACGAAATCGGTCTGTATACAGTCCATTCTCTTTTGAGCTGCTTTTAAGCATCTTGTAGTCGTCGTTCCAACACAGTGTGTTTGTTTTGATTCGTAGACCCCGAAAATGGTGCCGCGCTCCCACAATGCATTGCGGCGTGACTCCAAAGCCCTATTACGTGGTAGCGTACTCCCGGTGCTTGCTTGGAAGTTTAGGGTTTTTTTCCGCTGTAAAAAGAAGTTTTCTTCCCACGCACAACGGACACTAATGTTTTTGTCACTTTTTATGGAATCAAACTCGAAGTAAGGTCAGTACTTCCACGCTTTAAACGCTGCACGCTCATACTCTCTCCTGCACTCGATATATGATCCATTGTTGATCTGCAGACAGCTGTTGTCACCAACGTCGCACTCGCTTACGTCAATGTCATGAGACATTCTTGCAAAAAAATCACGGTTTTAGTAACGCAGTAACGCAGCGTTCCTACGGGAAAGTAATAGTAATCTAATTACCGTTTTTGCAATAGTAATCCCTTACTTTACTCGTTACTTGAAAAAAGTAATCAGATTACAGTAACGTGTTACAAGTAACGCGTTACTGCCCATCTCTGGTCATCAGGATAGGGATTTGTGTTGGTGTTTAGGGCTGTAGCCTCAGGTTTATATTGTGAACGGTAATAATGTGAACGTGTTTTTCAGATAATTTTAAATAGTAAAATTAAAGTAATGAGTAGTATAACAAACATCTTTATCCTGTTTGTAATGAAGTAATGTACTGCATTACTTTAAAGAAAAGCGTTCTTTGCAATATGTGCAATAATTACTTTTTTCGAGTAATGATCCCAAAACTGATCACAACAAAGAGGCTCTGACATGTACAAACATTTGAGCATACAGCATGTAATTAATTAGCATGATTTTAATGTCTTTGATTTGCTGCTTAGAGATGGTGGTGACTCTCACATTGGAGACAATGAGATTGATAAGTGAAACAAGAACTGGGATTACTAAATTGTTATCAATTCCCATCCCTAGTGACAATGATGTCCTAGTTGGTGGAGGAGGCCACCTCCTTGGACTGACAGAAACTGGTAACAACCACAACCCTTTTTGCTTTTCTCCAAAACACAGGAATAAATTTGGGGTTTGGGGCTAGGATTGTGATTTTCAGTAATGATGACTTGGATATCAGTGAATTAAGATGCTACAGCTTTACTTTGACTTTATTTATCCCTCTCTTGTATCCCTTATTGTCCAACTCTTTCTTTTTCTTCTCATTCTTTATTATATTCTGCTCTTTTAGTTATCGTTTCCTCTCAAAGCATTGCGCAGACTCCTCCAGAACTCCTCCCTCTTCTCTTCCTCCTGTGGCCACTCTAGGTAGGTGGTGGAACTCATCAGTTTGCGCAGTTTGTAGAAGCGTTTGGGGACATCATCCTTCGACAATGGCTCTAGTAGGATCAAAATGGCTGCCTCACCAGTGGCTTGACCATCAAAAAGCCAGAAGTGAGAGAAGTCAAGCTCATAGCGGCACCAGTCAGACTGCACAAAATTCTCGGAGAGGATGAAGACAGTTCTCCGACTGCGTTCGATAGCATTCATGATGTTGTCCACAATCCATTGTCCAGGAAGGAAATCCCGCTTGTGAAGGCAGAGAGTCAAGGGCCGGTGGGATGTTGACCTAGTCCCAGAGCTGCTTTCACTGTTGAAGTGAAGAAAAAAGCAGCTTTCAGCCTTTCTACTTTCTAATTTGGTATACAGCGTATAAGCCAGAGACTGCACAATCAAAATAATTAATATACTTTAAGTTTTGCAATCATTTCATGAGTTTAAATCTGTATGATTTAAAAAATGGTTAATGCAAGAATTTTAAAAACTCTATTAAACTTGCTTTGATAACACATTGTTTGGACTCAGATCTTGATCAAAGATCTTCCATGTCAAGTGTTCTACATCACCCCAAAATTTAGGTTATTAAAAAATGGAAGCTTTTTAAAGAGGTTGATATACCCAGTTTGGAAGTGTTTCAGTTTATTTAGGTTAAACTATGTTTGAAACCCAATTTTGTCTTCTTAACCGTCATTAACAGTAGCCAAAAGCTCTAGTTACTTATATCATGCAGCATTTACACAGAGAGCAGTTTCATTGTCGGATGTCAGAACTACCCTTTTAAAAAATGCCAGATAGCTGTATTTGTTCAGAAAAACTACACTGAAACCTTTATTACTGATGAACACAGTAATGACAATATGGACACTTTGGCTGAAATTATGTCAAATAATATCACAAAAACTGATGAACTTACCTTGGCTCCTCTAGCTCAGGTACCAAAAAATTTTCCACCCAGCCAGCATCTCTTTCACTGTAGGAAACAAAGGCATCAAAGGATATCAGGGCTTCTGTGTCTGCCTTATCTCTGCGTTGCTGCCGTTGTCGAGAATTACGCTTGGTCTTGAGCCATGCCCAGATCATCTTGAGGTACCAAAAGGCATGGATGCGCCACAGCACCACAGACAGCAGAGTGGCTACAAACAACGCCAAGCCACAGCTCACTGACACAAACAAAACCTGATGGCACATGACAACTGAGAGTCGGACTTGATCCACTGGCTGTCCATGTAGATAGAAAGGGTAGTCACAGATGTAGCTGTCCACTCCATCTGTCAGTTGTATACCTCCACCTTCTCGGAGTTCCAACTGGACAAAGCTGACAAAGTCACAGGAGCAGACAAACTTATTCTGACCAGCCTGGAGGTTATCGAGTCGCTGGTATGACTGGAGGTCTGTTTTGCCAAACATGTTCAGGGTATTTGACTGTGGAAATAAAATGTGTATCATAATGGAAACACTACGAGGATCAGAAGCATAAACATATGATCTGACTTATTACCTGGATGGTCAGGGTTTGTAGATTGGGGAAGGATAGCCCAGAGGGCAACCTCAGAAACTTGTTGCCAGAGAGATACAGTTCCCTGAGTACAGGCAGAAGTAGAGTGAAATCTTTAAGGTTGTTGTTGCTCAAATCCAACACCTGTAAAGAATAAAGCATAAGGGAAAAAAATAGGTTGCCAGGTCAATCTGCCAGGTCAATACATGGTCTTCATACCTCCAGGGTTTGGGGTAGACAGGGGGTAATGGCTGTGAACTTTGCCCCGGAGATGTTTAGGAATCGCAGGGTGGAAGGCCAAGGACAGCTTGAGGGCATGAAGCTGTAACCGGTCCTACTAATATCCAGGTGTGTCAGTTTAGAGAACTTTGTGACCAGTCGGCTCACGGTGGACAAAGACTGGACAGAAATGGGGAATGAAAGATGGAAAGTACTTGTCGTCATCAATCCTCAGAATTCTTGAATACTTGTAGGTAACGCAGATTTTATTAAAGTTTCATACTTCACCTTCAGAGCATTTCCACTGAAGTTTAAAACTCGAATGTCCTTCAAAGTTTGTGTTGTACCACAAAGCGTCTCCTCCAGAGTCAGGTCCGTCAGAAGGTTGTCGGACAGGTCCAGATACTGCAGGTTCTTCAGCAGATGGGACGTAAGACAAGGCATCACAAACACCTAAAGGAAAGAACCAAAACTCGTCAATATGACTGCAAAGTGGGAAGCTGTAAGGTAAGGGGAGACACTAGTCTCCCCTAGTATTTTCCTTCAGTTTGCATTATAACTCCAACATCCGTCCACAAGACAGACATGTTAGGTAAACTGTTGATTCTTATTTGGCCACAGGTCTGATTGTGAAAACGAATAGTTATCTGTCTCTCTTTGTTAGTCTTGCAACAGACTGGATACCTGTCCGAGGTGTACCCTGCTACCCTATAAGGTGGGATAGTCTCCGGGCCCCTGCATGACCCTGGATTAGCCAAATTAAAGAAAAATGGTGGACAGCTGTAAATATTGCATGCACAGGAAACAGGGGCCTTTTTGGCAATCATTTCCATTTCCATGTACAATGCAGAAAACAGTATGAACAAAGTATATTGTAGCAACTATCAGGTAAAAAAGTTTCATGTAGAAACTTGAAAGAACATCCAACTACCCTGCAGGGCATTATAAACATGTTTGCAAGTATCCTTAGTTTGATTTTATGTCTCCTGAAGAGGTTAACTCTGTAAGGAAAACTTAAACTGAAAGGGATGTGTTGATACAATCTATAATATCAGTAAATAGTTCAACAAATCTCTGGCTTTGCTTTCATCTGCACTAGGGTCAGAGAAAATAAAAACAAGAGTTTTTAGATGAAATGGCCATCTTCATCTATGGTATGTATAAACAGTATATACAAGTAAAACTTATAAGCTAAAACCTTTCTCTTGAATACATGCTGATCTGAAAATTATCCACATCTTCACACAAACTCCACAAAAGCCAAACTCACAGATGACCTAAAGATAAGTAAAAAAATAAACAGACCATCTAGGTGTCTGTTTATGTTCCGGTAGAAAAGATTTGTTTTAATTTCATCTTACTAATTTTTTTTTTGTCAGCTTAAAAAAATCCATCTTCAACTGAAAACAGTGAACTCAAGGCTTTCAAAATCATAGTTGATCACTGTATGGATATCCTGAAAAAATGTCTCTAGAGAGTAAACTAATCAGTATTTTCCATAGATTTGTTCTCCATAGATTTGTTCTCCATAGATTTGTTCTCCATCATCCATCCAAGATGGCGCCGCAGATGGCAGCCTCGGTACTGCGCTCTCTCGCACTTTTCTTGTTTCTGTTCATTTTCTGCGCTTTTGGTCACTCAGACTACATCACTTTCTCCAGAGAACAACTGCTAAACATCAGGCAGTCATCTCACTATAGTTCTTATCCATTTTTCACAAACCCGGAAAGTTTTTTGGAGATTTTAGTTGGAGGCGCAGCAGATCTCTGTGGCTCCTGGAGAAGACGTAGACGGGGGAGTCGCGCTGGTGAAGCAAACAAAGACCTGGCCAACGAGTTAAACACTTTCTATTGCAGGTTTGAGACGGACAGACTCCCACGCCCCACCCTCCCCTCCCCAGGGACATTGCTTCAGACATTGACCCCCAACACACCTTCCACCTCTCCCCCCTTCACCCTGCCCCTCCCCAATCAAGACTCAACGACCACCCCCACCCTCCCCAATCCAGACTCAACGACCACCACCACCCTCCCCAATCCAGACTCAACGACCTCCACCCCCCTTTCCTCCTCCCTGAAACTCAGAATACACACTCAGGATGTGAGCCGACTATTCCAGAAACAGAAGCCCAGGAAAGCCCCCGGACCAGACGGCGTCTCACCCTCCTGCCTCAAAACCTGTGCTTAACAGCTGGCTCCCATCTTTACTCACATCTTCAACAGATCCCTGGAGCTGTGTGAAGTTCCCTCCTGCTTCAAACACTCCACCATCATCCCTGTTCCCAAGAAACCCACCATCACAGGACTTGAATGACTACAGACCTGTCGCCTTGACGTCTGTGGTCATGAAATCCTTCGAACGACTGGTGTTAGCCCATCTGAAAGACATTACTGGCCACCAGCTGGACCCTCTGCAGTTTGCCTACCGGGCAAACAGGTCGGTGGATGATGCAGTGAACATGGGGCTGCATTACATCCTGCAACACCTTGACAGGATCCTGGAACTTATGCCAGGATCCTGTTTGTGACTTTAGTTCGGCTTTTAACACCATTGTGCCTGAACTTCTTTCCTCCAAACTCTCCCAGCTCAGTGTGTCACCAGCTACCTGTCAGTGGATCACCAGCTTCCTGACAGACAGAAAGCAACAAGTTTGGCTGGGGGAGATCACCTCTGAAACCCGGTCCCTCAGTATTGGTGCCCCTCAAGGATGTGTCCTCTCACCACTACTGTTCTCCCTCTACACTAACGACTGCACCTCCAAGAACTCGGCTGTCAAACTCCTAAAGTTTGCAGATGACACCACTGTCATTGGCCTCATTCAAGATGGTGATGAGTCTGCATACTGGCTGGTACTCTGGTGCAGTCAGCACAATCTGGAGCTGAACACTTCTAAGACTGTAGAGATGACAGTGGACTTCAGGAGACATCCCTCAACTCTACTCCCCCTCACCATATCAGACAGCCCTGTGTCAACTGTGAAGACCTTCAAGTTCCTGGGTACAACCATCTCCCAGGACCTGAAGTGGGAGACCAACATCAACTCCATCCTCAAAAAGACCCAGCAGAGGATGTACTTCCTGAGACAACTGGGGAAGTACAGTCTTCCACAGGAGCTGCTGATCCAGTTCTACACTGCGGTCATTGAGTCTGTCCTGTGCTCCTCCATTACAGTCTGGTATGGAGCAGCCACTAAACAGGACAGGAGCAGACTGCAGCGGACTGTACGGACAGCAGAAAGGATCATCGGCGCCCCCCTGCCCTCCATCCAGGATCTGTACCTCTCAAGAACCAGGAAACGAGCAGGGAAAATCATCACAGACCCCTCACACCCTGCACACAGACTTTTTGATCTGCTGCCCTCTGGCAGACGGTACAGAAGCCTGCAGACCAGGACCACCCGACATAGGAACAGTTTCTTTCCCCTCGCCATCTCCCTTCTTAACAGTTGACCTGTCACACTGCTCCCACTGCCACTGCCAGACTGCAGCTGTACCTTATGTACATTCTGTAGTATTCATTTCACCTCATTTCATTTCTGTATTCTATGTATATAAGTTTAGATTCGTTATTTATAGTTGGTTTACACAGCTTTGTGTATGTATGTGTAATGTGTATATATAGACACGTGTGTGTGTGTGATTTACATTGCTGTGCTTGAGAGCCACCATCTACCGGAACCAAATTCCCTGTATGTGTCTGCACATATACTTGGCCAATAAACACGATTCTGATTCTGATTTTGAAAATGTTACACAAGCAGCATACATTACAGAGCTGGTCACTTTAGAGACTGGCATTTTAATAGCATTTTTTTAAAATAAACATTTCAAAATATTTACAGCACAATCAGCTGTTCTGCATCAAATTTGATGCCACACAAATTATTTGTGCCACTCCAAAAATAATTTCTGTCTACTATGAAATAAAGGAGAACAACAGCCTGATACCTGCAGTCCTGACAACAGGAGATGTATCACTGCTGTAACACCTGTAATATTCAGCAGTCGCCTCATTGTTCTGACACACACAAAACTATTGACTACACTACACACTAACTACACAAGATTTGCGCTAAACGTCACAAATCTCTCACATCTCAAAACACCGCCATCACTCCTAAAACTTCCCCCGTTTCTTAACAACTTGCCATATCATTTTTTGATTGGTCGACATCTCCAGGGGTTGTACACGTTGTCATTAACGTGGCTTCACTCCACATCAGCCACGCCGCTTTGCTAGCTAAAACACTGGTGTGGGCACATTAGGACGCTGTCATAGCCTGTCAACGATGTTGATTAGCTCCGTATATACGAATGTGAATCACATCATTGGCTGGACTATGGGATAAGGTGTCATCGTTCTAATCCCATACGGGAGCAGCCAGTCACTCACTGACTAACACTGCAAAACGGAATTGTTGAAGTTTTAATTTTAATTTCAATTCAGGTTAGATTTTTTCTTTGTGTGCAACGCAGACTTTCAGTGCGCAGAGACCGTGCCAGCAGAGGGAACATTGTCAATCGTAAGTTTCCCTCCTCTTTAAATTTTCTCTGAAGAGTAGCAACATGTGGGTCTCAAAAAACTCTCAAATGACCTGAAGACAAAGACTGTTCACCATCATGGGAAGGATACAGAAGGGGAAGGATACAGAAAGCTGTCTCAGAGATTTAGGCTGTCTGTTTCCACAGTTAGGAACATACTGAGAAAATGATTTTTACCTTGGCGTTTATGACAGACACTCTTCTTGGATACTCCAGCAGAAAACCCAATTGTAGAAGTGAGGTAAATTTGTAGACATCCAGAATTACAAGGTTACGGATGTAGAACTCATCTATGCTTCTGTGATCAGTTTGGCTAGCTTTCCCCCACCTAACCCCAACCAAAAAAAGACAAGTTTGTTGTTTTCAATTTCCTGTATAATACACAAACGTTTCTTTTGAACCAAAGTTGCTAACTGGGACATATGCCAAAAAGATAATGTGCTTCTTTCCTACCAGCCTTCGCCCATCAGTGTGACATCTTCTATGGTAAGTTTGGTCAGTGGAACTCCATCTAATACCACCAGGAAGTCAACAATAGCCTCGTCAGACACAGAAACATTATGTAGGGTCAAATACCTGAAGAGTTACAACACAGAGGAAGAATAGGTTTGTTTGTTTCCCAGTTTGTTAGAATATTAGTTTTACCCAAGTAGAAGTGATGTCCATACCTGATCCTCCTTTTGGCTGCCTTACTAAAGGGCTGAACAGACTGAACTCCATTCAAATTGATGTCTTTCAGAATGATGGGTGTCTCAGGATATGACACATCATCAATCATAGACCCAGCCAAGGTCACATTTGTTAGAAAAGGACCATGGAGACTCAAGGTGACATGACCTAGCGGCCAAATGTGTGCTAATGTACCAGCGTCATAGCTGCAGAAGCAAGATACAGAAGCTAAAAGTTGAGGATATGTGAAAAGGAAGACAGTATACACAATAATAAAAGCATCAGATATTGATTTGTATATTTAGTAAAAGCACATAGAGAAGTGTTGGTTTGTTAGCCCAAATAAGTATAAAGAATCTATAAAAATAGACCATAACCAACACATTTTAAAGAACTTTTTTAAAAAAGTAACTTTTATATATAACTGAAATTATATATAAAAGAGTTATTCCATAAATATGAGTCTTTAAAGATGTCTCTTAGTTATTCATTATTTTGACACACATTTCTGAAGTTGAGATGGAAACGGTTACATTTTGCAATAGCAAAGAAAATTCATAAAGCGTGTTGATTCATTAACCTACTAAGTAACTTACGTTTAGCCATCTATAGCCACCTATAAAAATGTATTCATAGCCTCACTACAGTTAACCATAAACAAAAAAGACTCAAGGCAGTTAGAATAAAGGATACTAATTTGAAGCTACCACCACTAATAAAGACAGTAACTTAACACCACTACCAAAACCCGTGCAAACCTGGTCAGGTTGTTTGCATGAACAGTTAACTCCTCCAGCTGGGTGACTCCAGACAGATCTCCTCTCCGGAGCTCCTTCAGAGAAGGACCTCCAAGGGCCAGCTTCCTTAGTCTGACTAGGGCCCCAAATACTGGAGGAGAACCGAGGTAACTAGATGAGAGCACAGGAAAAGAAAATAACCATAATGTAATAATAATAATAATAATAATAATAATAATAATAATAATAACTTACGTTTTTGTTTTTTTTTTGTCTTGTCACAATTTTGGTACCTTTAGCTTATTACCTGTATGGGTTGTTGAGTAGGTTGAGCTGCTGCAGAGCTTCCAGCTTGCTGAACCATTTGTGGTTTAGCATAGTCAGCTGGTTGTAAGAGAGATCCAGCTGTTCCAGGCTCCACAGAGAGTCAAAAGCTGATGGATGGATCTCAGCTAAGCCATTGCCTGGAGGATAGTAACATCTATCTTAAAACAAATTGTAAACACATTTTATTGATGAAAATCAAACACTGAATTGAAATCCCAGAGCTCTGCCAAGTCTTTTTTGTAGCAACTGGAAAACAAACAAGTAAAAAGTAACTGTAGCAGATAAAGGATTTGTAATGACTTGTTACAAAACATCATAATGTCATTGGGAGCCCTTCTTCATGGCACACTTTGTTGTAAAGTAAATATTTAAATAGATAACAAGACTTTGGATCAAGTTTTTCACAATCATAGTTCACATTTTATGCATGACTGCCTCCCCCCAGAGTCTTCAAGTGAGAGTGTGATGATGCCATGCACTTAACCTGAAGTCACCTTTTCAATGTTTTAAAGTACATTTCAGGACAAGGTTTCATGGCCATCGTGTCCCTTGACGTGCATAATTTACACATCCAAATGTATAGACTTTGGTAGACTTTCACCCAGTCGGACTATCACTACAACATGACTTCTGGCTTCAAATTACATCCCTTATGACTAAAACATGCAACCACAAATCCAAATGACTCCCATTATTTAAAAAGAAAAAAAAAAGATTTTTGTCAAATTTTAACTTGCAACAACACCTGCACAATACAGAGTGAGTAGACAAAACCAGTATTTTGTCCATTGGGATATGCTGATGATCCTACTAGTTACAGAAAAAGCAGATAAAAAGGCTGAAATAGTCTCACTTTTCAAAATAAAATGTTGTCAAAAGAATATTTTTTATAGTTAGCTGTTGGTATTCTTCTCATTTTTTTCCATCACCACAGCTTGCCCCTCCACCAACACCCACTCAATCAATACTTTATGTGTTACCGTGGAGATCAAGAACCTTCAGTTGCATGTGGCCCGTCAGGTCATCATTCGTCACAGCTGTTATTTTATTAAAGGAAAGATCAAGACTCAAGGCACTGCCTGTTACAGTGGGAACACTGGTGAATCCACTGTGGGAGCAGTTACAGAAGAGCTGCTGGTTGCAGTGGTCGCAGGATGGCTTCTTGTTGTCTGTGTTCAACCTCTGGCCCCAGCTCTCAGAGAGGAAGAGGAGGACGAGGATGAAGGAGAGAGCAGAGGAGCAGCTGGTTGGACGTCTCATGCTGCATGAAATCAGTGAAGAACATGAAGTAGTGTTTGAGATGATTTATAAATCAGGGAGAAAGTGAGTCATACTTCTCAGACTGCAGAGGACCCACACACAGAAGTGAAAGAACAACAGGGAAGAAGCACAATTTCAAAGAGGAAGCCTAAAAAGTTTCATTCACAACACAATTCTGCAAAAGTGAAAGGTGTTATCAGAAAACAGAGATGTCTTCAGCTTCTCACACACCCTACACCTAATGGTTCCATCTGTTAAAGCATAAGCACATGAAGTTTTCAGTCATGTCGCAAATAACAGCCTCCATTCTTATGGCTCCAGGGTATTGATCTTCTTTGAACAAAGCCAGTGCATTGAAATCAGAGCAGGAAGCAACAAATATCATCTCAAAGCATTGACTTGTCAGCATTTTATATTTATACATTTATAGAGCAGTTCATCCCATGGGAAAAATAAATGAAAGAACCTTTGCACCTTTCACTCCAGAAATAGCAAATGCTTGTCTAATATTTGTGCATTTTTCATACATTAATCACAACTCGATTCATACATTTTTACATATTATGTAAAATGTAATGTAAAATGTAAATTGTATAAAATATAACACAGATATTTGTAATTGTTTTTTAAAGTTATTTTTCCATATGGAATTTTCCAAATGTTAAAATGGAAATATGTAGTAACTGATGTGGAAACTGATGTAAAGGTGGGTCCAAAAAGCCAAATACACCACTGCAAATTTTAAACCAGGCTGCATATCCCATTAGGATCAAATTTTTGTTCTGCAAATTAACGCGGACACACACAAACAGGGATCAACACCTTCGCCAAGCTTAAAAGCTAGCTTAAACATAAAGGTGAGGTCCTAAAGAAAGGCCTGTAAGGTATATGATTTGTGTCAAGATGTTGCATTCACGGATGAGCACAGATATGAAGCTGTGGACAGGAAACCGGGGCTGAATGTGATCTGAACAGATGTACATAAATATGGCAAAAATCTGTTTCACATCCTGCAGTGAAGGTCATGTTTCATCGCAGCAAAACAAATACCATATCCGGGGATTTTTGCAGGAATTCGAGGTTTCTTTGAATTTTGTCCCGGGGCTGGAATTATTTACTATTTATGTTAATAGCTTGTGACATAATTTTAATGCATTTGTACATTTCTATGCAGATGATACAATTATTTATTGTGCTCAAAACATCAAGATGGTTTTTAAAGAATTACAGCTGGCTTTTGATTTTATACAGTCACAGCTGTGTCAGCTCAGACTGATTTTAATTGCTGAAAAAAACCAAGATCATGTTGTTCTCAAATAGAAACAGCATACCTGCAGTACTTACCTCTCTTGTATTTGCTCAAGACAATTTGTGTTGAAACTGTGGCTTCATACAAATACTTACAGTATTGTGATTGATAATAGTTTTTCCTTAAAGCTACATATTGACCCCTGATAAACAAATTGAGGCTTAAGTTGAAGTTCTTTTTATGAAATCTTTCACTGCAAGTCAAAGGCTTGTTGTTGCCAACTTTTTACCCCTTCTGGATTATGGTGATATAATTTACATATATCTACTTATTCTCTCCATCTGTTGGATTGTGTTTATAATGGGGCATTAAAATCTATAACCAGATGTAAACCTTTAACACACCACTGTTGACTTGTCCCCACTGTCCTTATTCAGGATGGTTCATTTATATCTTCATATATTAATCTGTTTCTGGTTTACTCCCCTCTTATTTGTCAGATTACATATTACAGAAACAGTTTAGTCATGACTCAGGACTTTATTAGATTCACCTGTTCATACAGAGCTCAGACAAAAAGCATTCTCCTCATCTGCCCCGTCTTCATGGAGTTCATCACAGAAGGACTTGCAGCGCTCTCAATTGATTTCACTTGCAGACTTTAAAAATGACCTTGTGATATCATCACAGGGAACTTTTTCCTGTTTTTGACACTGTGAAAAGGTCATGCCAAATACTAATTTTTAAGGTTTTTTTTTTAAAACTTCTTTGCCTAATATACTGTATTTCCAGTTGTATTTGAACATTTCAACAAGAGCACTCAGGTAGTCCATAACTCCCCCTGAAGGGGAAACATAGAACAGCTTTATGCTAATGTCAGCATTGCTAATATGGAAATCTACTCTAGTTTATTCATCTTTGTTTTTCATTGTAAAGTCATATAATTTTGTCTTTAAAGATAATGTTTTAAAGAACTTAAAAAAGAGCTCTTTAAAACAGATTAAAACAGCTTAAAGTTGGAAAATAATTTTTTTCTAATTCAAGTGACCCTAAGCTGTAAAAACTTGGGATTTTAGGATATATTTATAAATAACTTTAACTGAGAATCTTTATGGCATCATTGTGATGTCATAGGGGATCGTATTGAGAAAATAAAAAGGTGTGTTATACAGATCTCCCCATGCCCCTACACATGATGTATTTCTCTATTTTTTTCAAGTTTAACTCTGACTTTGGGCGCTATAAATGAAGGTTATGGTCAAATGCTTAGTCAACCCAGGGACTCGTGTCCCCTAGGACTAAACATGTGCTTGTGAACTTTGAAGACGATCCATAAAATGTTGTGGGTATTGTAACGTTTAAACTTATTTTCACATTTGGTGTGACCTTTATCCAATTTTCACCAAAGTTCAGTTAGCTTGAGCTGTTGTTGGTATCTACCACACTAAATTTGTGAGCGATATCTTGAAAACTGTGGATGCTAGACTGCTAAAAAACAGACAGACAAACACACAAACAGAAGTGATTATATACAGTATTTCTTTCCTGAACCTGTTTCTTCTTCTTTTTTTCTTCTTGTTTTTTTAAAATGAGGTGACTCAGAAACCATTGCATAGGATTGAATATTGACAATAAAGTCCTAATTAATTTCAATTTTTTTATTATTCTTATTCTTTTTCAATCCCGGTGATAGAAATGCACTTTCGGAACCTCAACTTTCACATTAAATGCAGCTACTCTGCAGTATGTCACCATAAAACTATTTTTAATATTTATCTTTTGGTGGAAAGTGGTGGATGAGACATTAAGCAGTCCTTAGTTTGGTGAGCAAATAGCTTTTACTGAGCCTTTTACAGCACTCAGCCCAAGTTCTTCCCCTTTTTTCTCTATCTGTGACAGAGCCAATCAGTGTATCATCACTGCTGCTGCAAAATTAAAAATAAAAACTGAAACAATCTTGTAAAAATCAGCAAAACTTTACAGCATAAAGTTTTTTTCATGGTTTGTTTTAGGATTCTGTCAGAAGTTTGTCAAAGTCTTACCTTATATTTTTGCCGAGCTGACTGCTGAAACTCGTTAAAGACAACAGGATGAGTTGAAGTGTTTTATGACTTCATAAAGAGGAAGCATAAATCTCAGGGGTGACAGCTGGAACCAAGTGTGAAAAGAGGTAGTGAGCGTGACGTGAACTTTGGGAGGAAACCTTGTGAGTGCAAAAGTTTAAAAATATATTCCAAATGTACTATTTAACTATTTTCAGACTTTCTAAACTAAAATTGGAAAATTATATTAGGCTAAGTTATATCCAGAGAAAAATAAACTGTGTTACACTTTGTTAAATTTAATCACATATACTATTTGTTATCAGGAAAAAAAAAACTGACTGGAGAAGAACCAGTATTATAAAATTATTATCATGCACATGGTTTCAGTTCCAGAACATGCTTCAACCGCTGTGTGCACAGTACCATGACCACAATGATTTCCTGTTTCCTTTTGGCACACATAAACAACTACCATGCCAAGTTTGTAGGCGAGCATATATATTTATATATACATTAAAATTGCACTTGTCTATGTTTTAATATGATGTTACTGGATAAAGGTAATTGTAATCATATAAATAATAAATAAAATTTTATATTTATAGTGTACAGTGTCCTGTCTTCCTCCCCTCAACCCGAACCGCTCGCTGCTAAAATGGCCAGCATAAATATTTTTTGATTTCACACAGTGCTGATGATAGTTAAACTGACTAAAACTGAAAAGGCGGCTCTGTTTTTCTCTTATGGCTCGGGATGCATTTATTACTTCTTGGCTGAACTACTGTAAAAGACTTCAGTTAATCCAATTTGCTGCAGCAAGAATACTAACAGGGACTAATATGTATTTAGTCCCTGTTAGTCTCCTATATTGGCTTTTCTTCTCTGGCTCCCTGCTAAATCCAGAGATGAATGTATACTCCTTCTCCTCTTGAATAAACAGGTAATATAAGGTCATCCTTAATGACCTTTTAGTACCATATCACCCTATTAGAGCACTTCCCTCTCAGACTGCAGGCGTTTACTTGTTGTTCCTAGTGTATTTAATAGTAGAATGGGAGGCAGAGCCTTCAGTTTTCATGTCTGCTTTCAACCAGCTCCCAGTTTGAGACAGACACCCTCTCTACTTTTAAGATTGGGTTCAAAACTTTCTTTTTTGTTGGCATGATTTCCACAACATTTTTTGGTGAAATCCTCCATGTTTTTTTGCAAAATTACAGGAAACAACCTGTTGTTTTTTTTTTAAACCAGAGTGATGTAAATGGTCGCTTAACACATTTAAATGAAAAATCACAAGACAATAAAAAAGGCACAAACATGGTAAATAATTCCAGTACAGTAACTCCAATTACTGGAGGTGACAATGGTGACGTGTCAATCACAATGCCATGAAACAACTGTGTGGCAGGGAGGATTAGGACCAGGACTCATGAGTCAAGAAATGAACTCAAAGCAGCTTTCATACTGGAGTCTTTCATAATACAAAACTAAGAATCCAGGGAAACAGAGCAATGGAGCACACAGAACTGAAGGAGACTGCAACAAAGGACAAGTGGAGGCAATAAATATACACCAGGTAATGAGGGCAGAGGGAAAAGGTGGGAAATGCAATGGGAACACATCAGAAATAACAAGACAACGAAAGTTAAATTCACTACAAAGTACATAAAGAATAAAACAGGAAACAACATTGAGACAGAAACTAAAGAAATAAAATTCGACACAGAATCAACATTTGAGGAACCATGACACACGCCCCTAAATTTTCCTAAAAAATCCAAATTGTGACTATACCTGCATGGTAGTTTGCAATACAGGTATCTTACCACATGATGGGACTGTAGCCTGGTTTGCCTCACAGTTTCTCTAATGCTGGATCTCGTGGTTGTAGTTGCAGTGTTTTCAAGTCAGTGGACATATTTTATAAGCAACAAGTAACTGCAAAAATCTAGTGACCAAAGCAAAGCAATTACCAATTTCCAGTTTCACTTAAAACCTAAAGCCTACCTACAGCTTTATGTCGGCTAGCAGTCGTTGCCAGTTGCCAGGGTGCAAAATCAAGATGAAAGATTTGCATTCTTGAGTTTTGATCTTATTTGGAAAACAAACAAAAAAAGAAACCCACTGACAGCTAAGGGTTTAGTAGAGGTGAGGGCACTTCCTACCAGATTTGGCTTAAGTGTGGATGCCTCCCTTTGCTAGCTAAGTTTATTGACTCAGAGCATAAAATGCAGCCGTTTTTTATACAACCTTTTAAAACTATTTACAGAACAATCAGGTGTGCTGCATCATATCAGAAGGCACACAAATTATTTGTGCCACTCCAAAATAAAAGTTTTTGTCCACTCTAAGACATATAGATGATAGAAAACAAACAAACAAACAAACAAACAAAATGTTATAGTATTAACAATAAAGAATTTTTGGTCAACCAGCAAAAATTTGGGCCAAAAAAAATTGGATCAGCTGTGGCTAAGGTGGTAGAGCAGGTCATCTGCCAACTGGAAAGTTGGTGGATGACGCTTTACGTATCCACAGGCAAGTTACTGAACCCAAAGTTGCCTCTGATGCATACATCAGAGCATGTGTGAATGCTAGATTGCACTCAGACATAGATAAAAGCGCTGCATGAATGTGTGTGCTTTTGGGACGAGACCTATAGTAGAAAACCAGCAACACCACCAAAACAACAACCACAACCAAATCCCACTTCTGAGTATTGTTTTAATCTCAGTTAGCTCTCAGGTAGCAGACAGTAAATTGTTCCTAATGTGTGTAACCACTGTTCCTCACAGTGGGGAAAATAATTCAACTCTCTAATTTTATGGTAGTTTCAGTTCTCTCTCTCTCTCTTTTTAAGATAGAACCAGAATATGAACAAAAATCCAGTTCCTTAAAATGGAGGAAATAATTATGGTCTCTAATTTTATGGTAGTTTCAGTTCTCTCTCTTATTTTAAGATAGACACAAAATATCAAAAATGCTGTGGTCAGAAGAAGACAAAAATCCAGGTTGAATTCATACCAAACAGCTTTGGAGGGAACGTAATGTGGACTGTGACCCAAAGAAGACCATCCCCACAGTCACACAGAGATGGAAACAGCTTAACAGCACAAAAATGACTCAAAACATACTGGCAAGGTAAGCAGTAGCTAAAAATGAACCACATTAAGCTCATAGAGTGGAATAGCTAATCTTTCGACTTGGTAGAACTTCTGTTGAGGGAGCTGAAGCTTGGAGTTTCCAAGCAGCAGCCGAGAAACCTAAAAGATTTAGAGAGTTTCTGTAAAGAGGACTGAGCCAAAATGCCTCACGACATGTGTGCAGACCTGGTGACCAGCTACAAAAAATGCTTATCATGGTGGAGTTTGGGTCAATTTAGGAAAAGGCATCACATTTCATGGTAAAATACTGTAATACTAATTATGGTAATTTTTTATGCTATCAAAATATTAAACGGGTCAAATATCATTCAACACGTATGTAAAAGTTGAATTTGACGGGTTGTGGTTTGTGGCTCAGCCGAAGGGGAGGGGTGGAGCAGTGGGTTGAGGGATCAGTGCTGGGGAAGGCTGGCTGGTACAGTTGATTTGCATCATGCTAACCACTGTAACTATAGTTCACTAAAATGCATCTAGAGGTCTGCCTGTGTTATACGCCAGGGTTCGTGTAAAATTCATACAAATACCCAATGAAAGCATGTAAGTCTTTTACTTGCAAATAACCTCACTATCATAGTATCGTCAATTAGCCAACAGCTGCGGTTGTATTCTTAAGAAATATCCTTCAAAATTGAAGTACGAACATCATGTCACAAGACTTGTGGCTTCATGTCTAATATATCATCTTTAAAAGATTCAACCACAGGAAATAGATGTTTGTAAAAAGACTTCCAGAGTGTGAAAGGTGAAATTTTTATTTGTTGTTGTTGGGTTTTCTTTATAAGGCTCACACAACGTAAAGTTTATCAAATGTTTGCAGAGGTGCTAAGGAAGCTACAATATCCTTTGTCTTTCCAACCATGTGTTTCTCATGACTGATTAACCAAAATTGTTCAGAAATTTGTCATTATCATTGCCTCTATGGATCTTGTGCTCAGTTTGTTCCTGTGCTGCCATGATTAGTGCCTCTGTGCTCTATTTTGGTGTCTCCCAATTTTCCCTGTCTTGTCTCCAGCTGGTGCAAAAATGCAGCTGTACTTTTAACTGATACACAGAAGAGAGTTTTGGCCTGTTTTCTTCTGTTTTGGCCTCACTGGCCTGGCCCGTTCATTTTATAGTTCATTTATAATTATTTTGTTTTTAAGTCTTTAAAATGTCTTGCCCGATCCCATCTCTCTGAGCACTTACATTTGCATGTACTTTCCCAGTCCTTCAGGTCAACTGAACAGCTGCTCCTGAATTTGCCGAGGACACAACAAAAGCTCAGAGGGGACAGAGGTTTTGCTGTGGCAGCACCTAAGTTGGGGAATTTGCTGCAGCTGCATATTACACAGGCTTCCTAACTGTCCACTTTAAGTCACTTCTTAAAACCCACCTCTTTTCATTTGCTACAGGATGAGAGTTGGCTTTAAGCTTCATTTATTTATTTTTTATTTTAAGAATTTTATTCTAAATGTGATGTGTGTACTTTTGCAGGTGGTTGACCTTCAGGAGGGCAGGCCCGTGCCTTATCTTACGGCTGCACTTGGCTAGGCCCCTTGGACTAATAGAGGTCAGCTGAATCACTCTGACTCCTCACCCAGGACAAATCCACCTCGGGAGACCAGGGCGAGCGTCCCTGACAACATAACCCCGGAATCACTGGGACACTCAACCCCTCCACCATGATAAGATGATGACTCATATGTGTCTCTTTTTGTGCCTCTTAAACATCGTGGTTACAACTCTGACGCAATAGTACCTGCTGCTCACTCTAGGACTTATTGTCAATGTCCATTGTGGTTGTGTTGTGTTTGTGTCACGCACAAATGATGTTACAGGACTTTCAGCCGCATTGCTATAATGACTGATTAGAGTCGAGTCGAGCTGGGTAGGTACGAGTGAAAAAGAGG